TGATGTGACCCTCCCCGAAATGAAGTACCGCTCTGTTGTTGAAGAATAACCGCTGGAGAAGAAATGACTATGCCTAAAGAAAACTTTGAGCGGGTAAAACTTCACAGAGCTGTCATCTGCAACCCAATGCGGCCGCGGTGAAGGGCAAACCGACCTTCTCTCCAAGACGCTTCGCAAGCGTGGATAATAGTCAAAACAATTTGCCAAGATCGAATGAAATGGAAAGTACAAATAGATATGGCCCATAGTCTCATGTGTGCAACTCGAGTCGGATTACGGCGGACTGCAAGCGTCCAACAGGAAGGCCTCAGTTCAGATGAGACGGTGAACAAAAAGACAAATATGAAAGATTGTTGCAACAAATTGCATGAGACAGAGGAGCGTGGCCATCGAGACTGGATAATGTTTATCTCCGTTATTTACAAAGAAGGATCAGTCAACTTTTGTTGTACGTTGTGGCGTTAATTCATTTTACGGTGCCATCAAACCAGGAGCGGCCTTTTTGAAGGCATTGTCAACAGTTTCGTGACTACTACAGTGAGGTCTCCGCTTTCGCCCACTCAATTGCTTGTATCAACAAGGATGAAAGACAAGTCCTGACCGGGATTACATGTAATGTATGTAACTGCGCTACTGGCACTAAGCCTTGATTAAAAGTTCAGGCCCTTTAACATGCACACGGAATCAACCAACTGACTAAACGCTAAGAGTCATAACGTAGTAACAGGTGTAAAATAAACTGACATGATACACAAGAGCAAGATGAGGAAAATTAAACCACAACAAACCACACTATCATTAACTCTATGTCTGGCTGAGAACGAATCCACAGACAGTTTCACTTCACCGCACATGCAGGCGTTACGTTTAACGAGTACCAACAAACTGATCTTTTGAATAGTTGCTTAATATATAACTCCGCAGTTGCCCGTCCAAAGCCCAGATGAGACACGATTGTGATTGGAGACCGTGGCGAGATCTGTCCCAAAACTTAGCCAGCATCCGCTTATGGTATTGCCGTCATCGAACATTATACCTATTCGGTCGTCGCTACGGTCATCAAAAGCCGCGCAGGCTGTGGGGAGATAGGCTATGAAAAGTCGACGATCAGAACCTGCTCATCGCTTTCTAGCAACCGGAGGCGTAGCAGCACAACAACGGCTGACGAAGGTCGACGAAACAACGAAATAACCTATCAGCAACGGAGTCGCCACCCGTTCTGAACGGAGGAGGCAGACAGTGGGATGCCATCATAACACGTCAAAAAAGACTTAACGAGAACGACACTACCAGTAGGAGCTTGCAGTCGGAAATTGGAATATATCGTCACTCACAGGGAAAGAATAAAAGTTGGTTGATGAGGCCATAAAGTACCAATTCTGCATTGTTGGACTGTTGTCGACGAAGCGTTAAGGCTCTGGAACCCTGAACATCTGCGGGTAGAAGCTACTCTACTCATGTGTTGATATCACGACGCGCGCTCAGGCCGGTGCTGGTGTTCTGGAAGAACCCAACCTGGCTGACAGAATCACTGAATGGAAACCTGTCAGGGAACGGTGGCAAATATTCCACTAAAGTTACAACATGCTAAACTTTCACGTCGTTTGAGATATATGTGCCCAATTTAGAAAAGAACGAGTCCTTCCTGGAGAACAGGTAGTAGTACTCCTGTTCAAGAAGGAAAATCATAGGGACTGCTTCATCTGTTGGGAAATTACTTCATTGCGTCTCCAGAGAAAACTATATACAAAGTTGTTTAAAAAAGTGCCCGAAGTAGTTGACTCTAAAATTCAAGAGCAGTGTGACTTCAGATCAGACTGCAGCACGTCTGACCAGATCTTCACCATACGCCACATTGCTGTAACATCATGGGAGTTCGCTCATCCAGTTTACGTGCTTTGTTGACCTGGTCAAAGCCTATGATCGGATGGAGCATAAAAAGCTATCTACGTGTCTGGAAACACTTTAGATTGATGGATGCGGGTCATCGAGGTACTATATGCTGATAGAATGAGCTGCGTCAGAGCAAATGGCGTTAAGTCGAAGACTTTCAACGTTGGCACTGGTCTCCACCAAGGATGTGTCCTGTCCCCCCTCCTGTTTGTGTTGTACATGGATAGAATAGTCAGGCGCAGTCAAGGGAATGAGTGTATCGGTGTAGGAGATGTCAAGACGATAAGGTTGCTGTCTGCACACGACCTTGTTTTGTTAGCATCTTCTGAAATCGATCTACAGCGGTCTCTTGAAAAGTTCGCAGCCGAGTGTGACATGGCTGGCATGCATGTGAAAGTCTCAAAAGCAAAACGCCGAGTGCTTTATTGTTATCATACCTGCTGCGGTCTTAAGCAAACGGAGAAGCCGTGGTAAAAATGAAGACGCTCATTTTCGTCTAGGTCATGTTTAGTGGTGATCGAAAATGGGAGAAAATGCGAGAATGGGAGAAAATGCAAAAAAGAAATCAACCGGTGGATTGGAGTAGCCGATGTCGTTCTACATGAACGACCCAGAACCGTTGCGACTAAAGTAGAGTTGAGTCTGGTGACTAAGCTTTCGACGTTCAAGTCAGTCTTCATCCCGATGCTCATCTACGGTCATGAGTCGTGGGCCATGACCGAAAAACTTCCATCTCGGATACAAGCTGCTGAAATGAACTTTCTGGGACGAATCGCTGGGCTCACGCATCTATAAATGGATTGAAGTACATATATCCGAGATAGCCTTTGTGTACAGCCGTTGTATCTCCAGAGCATTTTCTTCGAAAATTCCCACCAGCTGCGATGGTTTGTTAATGCTTTCAGAAAGGAAATCGAAACACCTGCTACTTGCCCAACCAACCGGCCAAAGACGCCGGGAGCGGCCAAGAATGACTTGGGTAAGTGCCTCGACAAATTCTGATACTTCGGTTATCTTCGACCGAAGCTCAAACGATCACAAAGGATAGAGGATGTTGGAAACATGAGATGTCTGCCTCCGCGCCCCAAAAATATATAAGATAATCGAAATTAACTAACCATTAGGGGGCCAACCCCTGAAAAAATATAGCGTAATCACGTTTCCTAGACTACTCGCTCAGAACGCAAGATAGCGGTTGTCATATAATTTGAAAAATGCAGTTCATCAACTTAGTTTGAAAACTCTGATTTGGTCAAATAACGACAAACAGCAGGATTCGTCATTATACACAGAGAAAAACTATGGACCATTGATGCTGGCATTTGCTTTACCTCTATTTTGATACTGATCGACGCGGGCCGAGCTATCTCGCTTAGAAAGTTTACCACCGGACAATGCTTTCATCAGCGGAAGATGGGCAAAACGTGGTGGCTTCCATCCAAATGCTTCGTATAGCAACAAATGCTTGGTTGTAGAGGCAAGCCATTCCTCACCGCGAAGAACATGAGAAATGCACATGGCATGATCATCGACTACGTTTGCAAAGTGATACGTCGGATATCCATCGGATTTGAGCAACACTGGGTCGCCTTCACTTTCATAAGGATTCATACTGCAAACTCCAAACACCATGTCACTAAATGTCACCAGACTCGGCTGAAGTTTGAGGCGCACAACAAACGGGACTTTTTTTTCAAGATTTTCTTGCACTACCGCTTCCGGTAGGTAACAGCAATTACGGTCATATTTTGGTGCCTGCCTCAAACGTAATGCCTCTTTTCGCATTAACATCAAACGATCCGGAGAGCAGAAACATCTAGAAGACATAAATTAAGGTGACGCACAACGATGAAGAATTTACAGAAAAATTTAGACATGTAACCTAATTCAAGGCGATAACTGGTAAATTGAATGTCGTTACGAGAAATAACAGCTAGATGACTGTAAAGGGATTAATTTTTGGTCTTTGAGGGAAACTCGTCTGGTACCACGGAAAAATGCCAACTACCACAACAGCATCTTCAGTCTTGAGCATATGTAACTACAAAAGCAGTTGGCCACCTGCTAACGTATTCTGGATCTAGGAATGGTGAAGCAACAGCATCCTACAGTTTGTACAGACCGGCCGTGCCTGTTATACGGTCGCACTCTCCCCATCGGCCAGTATGCTGTAGACTGGGTTAAGACGGAATCAGGGCAATCATGGCGAGTCTGAAATAAAAATAAGTGGAAGATAGAGAAGAGCTGAGGTTCTTATATTTGCACTGGAGAGGCACCAATATGGATTCGAGAAACACCAAAAATATGATGGAAAACACGGCTTCTTGCAGAAAATGTGGGCTGTCACATTATTTGTGTGACGAAATGGTTCCGAAAATTTCAAATGCGGACATGACACTGTACTTTTCTCAGGAAGAGTGGTGAGAAAGCTTAAGTGATAGTGGCTTTTATATTCAGCACGACAAACGCAGGAGCATCAATCAATCACAATCCTGTATCTTCTCCAGTTATGACTGTAATTATAAGACCAAATATGAAGAATATCTAAACAATTTTGGTATGTGCCCACAGTTCAGTCACCACTCATAAAGCTACTGAAGAATTTATCAGGATTTACTAAACACTTTAGACAGGATTTTACAGAACGATGTTATACTGAAAACTGGAGACGTAAACGTAAAGATGGAAATTGATTAAAAACAGGTGGAAGGAAAAGATGGAGAAACATGGAACTGGAAGGACGAAGAAAAGACGCACTGGGCTACTCATTTTACTTCTATGTGCCAAACAACTTGGTAGTATGCAGTATCACAGTTACACAGCCAAAAAGGCAAGAAGGAAAGAAACGGCTAAAGGATTAGACTTTGGTATCTCCGATAGCTCAACATGATCATCTTAGAAGAACCCTGCTAGATCAAATCACTGCAATCTTTCTGTAAGGCAAAGTACCGGTATGCGTTCTTGCGTTCAATCAACTCAAGTGCCGCCGTGTGATAGAGTTTAAGTCTCTCGGACTGCACATAAGGACCGTAGCAACCTCCGATGAACGGTCCTTCATCAGGAGTCAAACATAACCAATCTAGTATGTTTTGAAAATTTTCAACTGCACCCGGAATGAGACGCTTTCTATCCGTATCTTCAATACGCAGAACAAATTTGCCATGCAATTTCTTTGCGAACAGGTAGTTGTACATGGCAGTTCTCAATCCACCAAAATGTAGAAATCCCGTAGGACTAGGAGCGAACCTCAAACGCACTGCCTCTGAGGAATACGACCGCTTCCATGAGTACCATCGAAACGCTGCGCTATTCGTCACAACATCTAAACTGATAAGCAGTAGAAGAAACCAATGCACCTTTAATCAAACAGTACCGAAACAACTATCAAATCCTCGTGACAAGAAAATAAGGTTAAACATTTTTTGGAAGAAACAAATCGTCCGATACTCTACCACTGATCAACGGTTATCTACTATGTCAACATTCAACGTTTCTTCGGCTGCTTCCTGAATGTTGCTATGGCTTGCCGCCAGCTGAAAAAGCAAAATTACAAACAACATAAGCAGCATTCAAGAAAAATATTATATTAATCAATAACGCAAGACATTATCATTGCAACATGATTTTTGACACGTTAGTGATCTGATTTGAGATTTAAAAAAACATTGCTCAATGCCTTTACCATTTGCAATCTCGTATTTTCATAGTTTAACACACGGATATTCACACACGAACGAAGTTTTCTAGACATGGGCCTGCCAGATGACACAGCCATGCGCATAACCCACCGCTGATCGTGGAACGCCAACAACTTAAAACAAGCGACTCCAGTTCTGGCTTTTAAATCGTAATAACACAATATTCATCCATTAGATCAGATTATTTAGTCCAGCCATGTTTACTTCATCTGCTCTGTGGGATATCGCAACAAATTTATGTAACCACGTATCTGATTACAGCCAGCTTGTTACTGCGTTCTGTCTTGCTGAACGCTCGTAACACGGATGAGTTAGTCTTGATAACAAAATCCGTTAGCTAGTTCTCGAACGGAGTGCACCAAGTCTATTTTTTAGGTCGCGGGGGCAACAACTTAAGAATGTTTTCCCAATGATGCCCGTGCTCCGCTAGTCGAACAACCCACATGGTCTGTATATCAATCCGCACGATGTCAGGTGCTTAGTATATTCGAGACATCCACTACTGCAGTCATTCAGTGCATGCAATAATCTACTCTTTATTAGGGCAGGAAACTATCACGGTTTTGGTTGCTGTTAATGGCTAACATATGCGATGCGTTTCCGACACGATCTAAAACCTTATGTAGATCAAATGCAACAAGAAGTAAATCATCCGCATATTCGAATGCTTCTGTCGATCGTTCATGCTTATTCCAATTCAGTCAAATTCGAACGCTATTGTATTGCCTTTCTAAATGCAGACAGCGGTCAAGCAGACTTGTCAAATGCCCCTACTGCCATCTGATAAACCTAACTTATTTCATTTCCTTCATCGCAGACACGCGCTCTGCACAGGCTTTTGAGATGTCATACAAGGCACTTGCTGAAGAACATTTTCGCATACCTAACCTTCAAAGGTTTATGATATCAACTGCTTTCATAATCCAAAATCGCCTAAGAACGGCACCTGTCACTAATCTCAGTACTGGCTTAAAAAGTTACAGAACAACCTTACAGTCTTGTTTTGTTTGTTTGCGTGATCATGACACTGAGCCGTTTGCATAAACAGAACATCTTTAGTTTGTGATGTCAATACCTTGGACACAAACACCAGTTACAGCATCGTAGAAGGAGATATTCCTCTCCGAAAACAGACTTGGGTTTTCCTTTTCCCTCATGTTACATGCTGACCTCATGGTCGATCTTTCCGTGCTTCGACTTCTACATGAGAAAAGCTCATGGGCTGGAGTAAATACCTTTTGCTCAAGCAGTCCGTCTAAAATGGCCAACCTGCTTTTCTTAATCTCCACGTCTATCGAAGTCACCTGAACCGGGAAGAGAATAGTCATTTCTTACGTGATCCTGTCATTTAACCCTCAGTATGCTTCGAAGCATACGCTGCTGTGCGCAATTCAACCGTCGTTCTTGTTCCTTCGTTATACAACTCCTCCATGCCGTGTAACAACACGAACTTGAAGCAATATAAATAGGGATTTTCGTCAAAAGCGCTATCTTTTTCTCAGCACATAAATCTGACCGGATATCAAATGCACCGGAAGCATACCTCTAATTTTACTCTGATTGGACAGTGCTAACGCTGGAGAAGATTCATCCGAGATATTTAAACTGGTCGATTACGTCCGCTGTGGCATCCCTTCTCTATCCTACTAGTAGTTCAACCGTGCTTGACTGATTCATCAACTTTTCCGGACGTTCGGACGTTAGCCGGCTTTCGCAGCTGTGTTGCAAATGGAAGCTATCAGGTGACAGAGCCCGCTTCCAGTAGTACTCACCAGGACAATATCATCTGCGTACTTTAGAACAGCAAGATATTTAATCGGGTGTTTTGAACTGCGCCTGCGTCTTCCCTCTCGAATGAGACTTTCGTCCTTGCCAGGGGCCACAATGTTTCAGAGAAGAAAGTCAAGAGCAACGTTGAACAGCAATGGTTAAAGCACATCAACACGGCCAACTCAACAGTTAATGGGGAACCTCTCAAACAGCTGTCCTTCGACTTTGACAGCAGACATGGTTAACGTCTGACGCCCCTATTGGCACCTAATCAGCCCAGCAAAATTCATTCAGATTTCTGTGGTATGTACAAGTTTTCAGGAAGTCCGCAAGTACTTTATTGAAGATCATTTTCGCACGTTCCAAGTTTCGATGGCTTATTGAATCAGCTGTTTTCATATTCCAAAAGTGTTTACGTAAATTGCAATTTTGTTTTTGACTTAAGGAGATTAGATATGCAGTCCAACTATTTTTACCTAGATTCTCAACAGTTCGTCTGTTCTAATGCCAGAACTTCTGTCTCTGACCTGCATTCTATACAGAGTAATTTTCCTCGCATAGCTGCAGATTGCAAGGATTCCATATTCTGCACAACCACAACTAGCGAGGACGATCAGTCCGCTACAAAAATAGTGGATACTATCTGTCAACCACAGCATAGCGCGAACTGCATCATCATTGGCAGCGCATGATTTACATTAGGACCATTGCAAACAGGGACTTCTAATAAGCGCTGCAGCCTTGCCTCGTTTTGTTATGTCCACAGTTCGTCGAATACCCTCAAAGATCTATCTTCTTCGGTCTCAGATCTATTATCAAGACATGTCAAAATACACGTCAGTATTCATCACGTACTGACCGCTACGTATGAACAGTCAAATCGGAACGTTATGTCCTTCAGCTGCTTTGCCAATTAGGGGTTTCAAATATCCTCCAAGATCGAAATTCGTGGTCGTGGTTGGTTGGCACCGACGAGTTAACACTAGACTTATAAAAGATTGAATTTTTTTATTATACCGTTACCATGGACTTCAAAACGGTCGGAAAACAAGGGCCCGCGCAAACTTTAACACGAAATACCTTTATCCTTCATATAGTCATAATCATTTTCAGGTTTATTAGCCTATTATGAAACAAGCACTTAAAACACAACAAAAAGAAACAACTCAACGTAGGCTGACATAGAATACTTCACTTCGACCTACTGCACTGCAGCACGTGAGATTCAACGAAGGAACATTCGAAGAATTCGATTCTCGATTAAATACGTGCAAACATTCGTTGGCTTAAAGTTGTTAAGCACAGTAAGCGAGTGAAACACACGTGTTTGGGAGGATCTATGATCGCAATTCCTAAGACCGTAGCTTTAGAATACTTCAATTCATTTAATCTCGTAGCAATCAATAACCCCATTCCTTATGACCTAGCGCTAAAATCAGATGTGAGAAGACCAGTGGTACCGCAGGTATCAGCGTACGAAGAAATCTTAATGATTGTGGAGTCAAGAACTAGCTTCGGACTCTATTTGAAATGCGGATACCGATCAATTGCTTGGAGTCGCGTCTGACCAGCTGAACACTTAATTCACATTACATGGGAGGCGACGTTGGAGACAACTTTGAATCACTGCGAACGATGGACATATGCGCGCCATTGCGAAGATTTCGTTGAAAATTTATCCACATTTAACTAGTCGATGAATATGTTCGAAGAAATTACTCTCCTACAACAATGACTCTCCTACTCTCGACTCTCCTACAACCTGAAGGAGTGTCAGCCGCCTTCTCAACTTCGAAAGAGAAGTCATCGAATCGAATCTTACAGGACCGCTATGAATCTTGCGGTGATTCGCAGGTACAATAACAAATACTGTACTAATGCATTTTTTTATCATTTCGATCAACGTGCGCTATTGAGATAAAAAATATCTTCTTCAATAACGGAACCCATTGACCCTTACTCCTGGCAGCCTACGTGTGGAATGGGTTGGGGGAAGGTGGGCATTTAAGCAAGCATATGTCCATAGCATTTTATCACCTGTAGTACCAAATATATCACGCATCATTTTGTCCATTTGCACTATCTCGCGCTCTTCACGAAAGATATTCCAAAGCTTTTACTCACTTTATTGTACAGCATAGACATAGGAATCTGCTCCACGACTAATTATGCCTAGTAACTAATGACCAAAACTAATGGCTACTCCAAAAATCAGATTTCACAGCGCAGTGCATAGCAGCCTCGTTGAAACCTATTCATTATTGACAGACTAAAACATATCGGATCGGCGTGATAACCTTATTGAAAGAAGCACAGAGTAATTTTTAAATCACTATTTCTGTTAACTTTGGAAGTGGCAATGTCCATTATGCTTACAATGATTTCGAAAAAGCCGTCATACCTCGACGAAAAACGTCATTAACTTCAGCAAGAGAATAACGGATCGGCTTCGGGTTAGAGAAGAGACCCTAGCCCCTTAAATTACACAGAATTAGCCAGTTCATCGCCAGCTGCAAGAATTAGCCAGTTCATCGCCAGCTTTTTTGCCCACGCATTTGGCAGGTTATCAAAAGCACTGGAGGTGAGGATAATGAATCAATGAGGAGACCTCTCCTGGTAGCAGTCGCAAGAAAAATATCATTTGCGTACGCCAGGCGAGGAAGAAATCTTGACGGATATTTATAATTGCGCCTTCCCTCTAATGAGGTCTCATTTTTGAGCAACAAGGACTGTTTTGAAGGCAAATGTCCATAACGGACAAAACGCTAACAGCGGACCTTAAGTCGTAACGGGAGGCGTTTTTGGCACTGTCAGTTGGCTTATTTATTACAGGCAACAATGATATTTCGCGTCGCATGTTTGACATTCAGGCGACAGATAAAGTTCGTATATAACACCTGTTTTATCGAATGATCGTTAAGCTTACCCCTGGGGACAGGATGACACTCATACTAGCCTAGCATATTCTGCTGTAGATTGAGCACCAAACGGGCCTCCCATCAAGGATGCATGCCAAGCGCTTCTTTCCTCTGGAGACGAGCCTCTCTTATCGTCAATACATCAACTTTGCGTCGAGGGGTCGTCTAACTTACCTTCGCCAGACAAGAAATGAACGTTCCAACACACAACACGGTACTTATTGCTTGTAGTATTGATAGCTGCAATGGCAGATTTTTTCCTTCCTAGTTGACTTATAGATTGTGAGTGGGAACCGTGTTAGGTGCGCTCATTCCTACAGAGTAATAAACTCGTTGTCAGTCGCTGAGAAATCGACCTGCCGACTATATGTTGCAGCACGGGGTTGGCGGTACTTTAACTTCCGAGCATAAACATGAATGAGACAAAACATAGGCAAGAAACAGAAACGTACGAACAACAGACAACCGCTTACGGTGAAGAACAGAACGTGCGTAGCAAGATAGCTGCTGCAGCAAAGACAAAGGACAAACAAAAGAAAACTATCGTGAAATAGAGAAAGCAAACGTATACATTGAACAAAACAGGAAATTGAAAGGAATCATCAAACAGCACAAAATTCGTAGAAAAATGGTATGCTCTTTGCGAGGAATAACATTTTGGAATTGAAATTGGAAACAAGGAAGCTGCAGCAACGGCAGTGAAACAGAGCGTTAATAACACCTTGAAGTATTTTTTACCGATTCCAGTTTTACTTTTTGTGATTAGCTGAAACGGAAAGAGTTGCCCTGTGATTCGCGTTAACTTTCACTTATTACAGCTATTTGCATTAGAGGAACAACTATGAAAGAACAGTGGGTGTACTGTAGTTTATCAGGTATCATCAAGTTCAGTTGTTTTCGTTTCGGTTAACGTTATTGATCGCGATGTACAGCAACCGTTTCTAGCTTTGGAAGGTTTTGCATCGCGATTCAATTTTTGTCGTGATTTCGTCTTGGGGTTGTAAGAGATTCATGGTTGTTAGTGGTCGTGACGCGAGGTAACAGTTCCTTGAAATTTTCACCTTATTTTTGACAGCTGAATGTCGAAGTTAACCTTTTATTGGTCAAACTAGTTATAATGGAAAAACACATTTCGCGAAAACTGTTTTCGTGTCGCTACGACTTCCGTCGTGCTGTCTCTCCTTGGCGCTAACGCAGTATTCTTAGTATGGTGTGTCTTATGAGTTTAATACTTATTTTGTTTAGTGCATCGTAGAAAAGCAAAAGTCGCGTGCGTGTGTTGGTTTAGTAAGCCGTTCAACTTTGGTTAGATCAATGTTGCCGTTTTTTATTGAAGAACATTATGTCCACATCGGGGCTTTCTGGAAAATTAGCATTGGACAAAGGGTACAGCAGTGGCAGGTCGAAGTTTCAGACCGTCAATATCAATAGTGTGTATAGTGGCAAGTCGTTAATTGCACCAAAAAGTTCAAGTGAGTTCGTATGCTCTCTTGGGTCATAGCGAATCCACGGTTTTCTTTGTTTTCGTAGGTATAACAAAAAATGGGCTTCAGTCTCTTGGCAAGACGACGGCTATCGCCCGTCGCATGCCCCCACCTGCTAATTTGCCTAGTCTAAAATCTGAAGGCGCTGGCCAAGATCCGAACGTTACTATTGTTCCTAGCGGTGTTTCGGGATGGGGTACGAATCAGAACACGGTTACGAGCGAACATTCAGAATCGAGCAGCGCGAACAACACTGGCCAAAGGGTACGATTTTCGGCGTTCGTTTGTTTCTGTCTTTATGAATCCTTCCCTTTCTCAGGTTCCTTCTCAGTCGTCGTATGGTACTGGAGCATCTGCATCCATTACGCAGTCTTCATCGACAAATCACTCTACGACGGCATCTGGCAGTACTCGTGGTGTTGGCGGTGGCGAGAGTGCGAAGCAGACATGGAGTTCTCGCATTGGAAACAGTGGACCGTCCGCGGAGCAAGGTTTCGTAGTGGCAGCGCAAGAGTTTCCAAAACTTGCCGGAAATCAAGCGGAGGAAGAGCTGAAGGGGCCAAGTTTAAGACCACAGAGTAGCCATTTTTGATATTTTCATTTCATTTCGTAAAGTATACGCAGTATCAGCTTTGTCTGAGCTTTATAGATAAGTTCATCATGTTTGTTTGGGAGACATGCTTTTGTACTCCTTGAATTTGTCAGTGATTTTAGTAATGGCCCACTAGGCTTTTAAAATCAGAGGGTGGCACTATAGTGTGCTGCATATGCCGATGAAGCTGTTCGTATAGTGGCTGTTTTAAATACTCTGAAATTCAGCATTTAGTGCATAGAAGAAAATTCGGGCGCATTTTCGGTTGTTTCTCTCAGCCGCAGGTTTCTTTGTACACTTTCAGCCTTAAATGACCCAATTTTTCTTGGCACAACGATGAAATGCAAAATCTAAAACCATCTTGTCCTTGGAAATCATTATTTTGTGATTAAGCTGCTGCGAAAAAAGAATAAAATAGAATTATCGACGGTTGCCTGCAGTTAAACGTACTAAATTCTATGCTGTTGATTTTAAAACAGAAATCCGACCGACTAGTGATATGCTCAAAGCTAATGAGATCAGCTATCCTAGTGTTTAAGTTAAATATGTAGCAGTAGCTGGATTCCATTAAAGTGCGTTCTCAGAGATGACTGAAGCCGCAGTTAACCGATTTAATGATTGTTAATTTATAAAATATTGACAGAATAAGTGCCCCTCACCGTTATAAATCAGGCTGAGGCGGTATCCTTGGCTTAGAAATTATATATTGGTTTTGTTATGCTACTTGCATAAGCAAACTTTGGAAAGTAGTGTTTTCTGAAGAATATGAGTAGCGCATTCCACGACAAAATATTATTGTTTTATCTTGTTAAGCACGGTATAAACATCATTTTATTTTTTAGACAAGTG